AATGGCCTCTAAGGGCTGCCTCCCCACTTTGCCTCCGCCTTCTAACAGCCACTGTCCTGATCAAGAAAGCTGACAGGCTCACCTTAGACTGAGACCTAACTGTCCAGGTGCCACATACTGCACTGGAATGAACTGTTCTTTAAAAAATGGACCTCCTGACAGATGCTGAGTACACCCTGTTTATGGATGGAAGTAGCTCTATTGGGTTTTTTGGGGGGTGGGGGGGTTCCAGGAATCACACTCAGGACCTCCTGCTTGCCAGGCAGATGCTATGCCAGTGAGCTGCACCCCCAGCCCTAAGTAGCTCTATTAGGAAAGAAGTCCAACAGGCTAAATATGCTGTGGTCACCTTGCACAGAACTATTTTGGCCCAAATGCTCTCGCAGGGATGGTCTGCACAGCAAACTGCTTCCTGCTGCTGTTTGGAAACCTGCCACTAACGACGCAAAATAATACGGTCCAGAGGCCTAATCCCCCTCTGGGGATCCAACTGACTGAAACATCAACCCCAGCCAGAAACACTTTACCCAATACTCCTGGAAGATCACAGCCAGACCTCCCCCACCATATGTTCTGCAAGCTCAAGCTGCAGCACAGCACTGGCACCCGTACCCCTGCAGCCAGCTCAGGCTTCAGCATCTGTGTCACTGGCCCTGACCTCATGCATTCTAGTGGACTCCATATAGACTATACAGAAAAAAACCACAACCCTACAGAAAGAGCTCGTAACCAGTTAGAGGCCAGCTGTATCAGTAGACACTCCTGCACCCACATATAACCCAGGTACATATTAACTACCTCTACCAGTTTCAGAAATCCAGCCTTAGCTCTGCTGAAAAATTTACCTGGACAGCTCCTCCAAGGGTCAGTCTGAAGAGAAAACTCACACACAACTGAAGCCTGAGGACATCATTCACAGGATTGCTCTGTACCTATAAACCTTGATTTCTGCATCTTTTCACTGCTTACCCCAGCCCTTGCTTTCCTTGCCTCCCTGCTAGCTGTGGTTTTGCTAACTGACCTGGATTCTGCTTACCTCAGCCCTTGCTTCTCCACCCTACACTAGCTGTGTTTTCTTCTATGGATGGTTGCCCCAAGAGAATAGAATAATCAAACGCTTGACCAAGATTTGATGAGCACCCAAGACACGTTGGACGCTCTCCTAGATCAGATACACTCCCTTACTACCTTGCCAGAGTAATGTTACAGAGCAGCCAGGCCTAAATTATGTCTCTTCCTAAAAACAACTTAGGGAAAAACTCTGTGATAAGATAATCTTGGGGAGCTTGGCCAGGGCCCATCCTAGGATCACTAACTACTTCTAGTTGGGCCTTGTGTCAGAAGATCACATGTAATACACTCAGCGAAGATTTGCCAGGGAAACTAGAAGGGGGGGCGGAATGTAACAGAAAATGCCCCCCTCAGCCAGAATACTTCAGCTTGTCAGTTGCCCAGGTGACAGTTCCTGTTCCAGGTCTGGTTGCTCTTGTCTCTCAGAAACGGCTGGTCACTGTGATCAGCGTTGCATAAACCAATCCCTAATTGACAAGCCATTCCGCCTCTGTACTTCCTGCTTGCTTATCCCATATAAGCCCTGCACCACCAGAGACTGGGGGGCCTGATATTCTGGGAATGATCCTGATCAGTGCGTATCAACGTAAATACATCTGCCCCCAAATCCTGGGTGTTGTTTCGGTGTCTCTGCTTGTTGTTGCAGGGCAGCGAGCTGACTGTATCCAGAGACGCTGATCCTGCAGGGGAGACTGCACTAAAAAGGACTTACAAAGTCTCAGTGTGGAACGGGAAGCTGGCAGGCAAAGGGTGTTGTGGGAAGTACACTAGGTCTGACAAGACCTGAGCTCTGATCCCTAGCCTGGCACCAACTCACCGGGGTTCTAGGCTTACTAATTTTTCTGAGCCTGTTCCATCAATTCCTCTCAAATGAAGAGATTTGAGTATATCATTTGTAACATTCTCTGACCTAAACGGATCTCACTGCAAAGATCGGGTGCTGCGCTCCCTGGTGTGACCAAGGGAGCAGAGCTGTCCCAAAGGCTCACTGTTAAAGCTCACCCATGGCCAAGGGCACACGTACAGCTGCCCACACTCCAGGCTAGGGGCTTTACGGAAGTGAGAATTTCAAGAGCGAGAAGGGAAGAAGGGCAAAGGCAGTGATTAAGAGAAAGAGAAAGGTTAATGAGTAAGGCTGGCCCATGACTAATCACAGCTCTTGCTGATGATACTGGACTTGGCACCCATCCTAGGCCTCCTCATGTCAGCAGCCCGCGGGCCGCAGGCCAGAAAGCTTGAAGATCAAAAGAACAAGCCAGTCTGAAAGCGCACTTTCCCCTGGATCACCCACATATAGATGAGACACTTTCATGTAGCAATTATCTTTCCTTCTTAAGAGATTAAAAACCAAGGGAACTGCAGGCAGCAGTAACACAGCTGGACTCAAGAATCTCCAAGAAGCCGGGCGGGTGGTGCACACCTGTAATCCCAGCAGGCAGGAGACGGAGGCAGGAGCATCTGTGAGTGCGAGGCCAGCCTGAAGGACACAGTGAGACCCTGTCTCCCCCAGCCAAAAAAAGAAAAAAGAATCTCCAAGATCCCTTTCAGGCTAAACACCTCATTATTGAAAGATTAACCAGAAAGTAAACCCCAGAAAAGCAGATACATGCTCAAAGGGCTGTAAAGCTGTGTTTTTAGGTAAACTCATGCAACAGCCGTATGTCTGCTGGGCATCTGCTGTGTGCCAGGTACTTGCCTAAACACAGGGGACCCCCCTCAGCAAGGGACAGGCCACACCACCTGGCGGCGCCTACTGTTCACGCCTCGCACGGCAGAGTGGGAGGGAGGGAGGCACAGAAGGAGCCGCTTCAACAGCGAGCACCATTTCTGTGAGCGAAGGACTGCGGCAGCTGGGGAAGTCACAAGCTCAGCCTGGGGTGCAGGACACGATTTCAGTTAGTGGTGTGTTTTTTCTTTTTTTCTTTTTTTTTTTTTTTTGGTCCTTTTGAGACAGAGTCTCACTATGCAGTTCAGGCTGGCCTGAGCTCACTTTGTAGCCCAGGTTGGGCTTAAACTTGCAACGATCTCCCTGCCTCAGCCTCCCGAGTGCTGCGATTACAGGCGTGCACCACCACGCCAGGCCCTTCAGTGAGTGTTTAAACCAGAGAAAGATGCTTAACTTGGAAAACCTGCAAATGGTTTAAACTGAGGATGCCCTGCCCCTCAGCTGACATGGGGAAAATTCCTCCTCCCGCCACGCATGGGGTACACTCATCAGAGGCGGCCTGGAATAGGCGGCCTTGGCAGGAAGGACGGGGAGAAGAGAAGGAAGCCCAGGGGGCAAAGAAGGCACCAGGAGTAAGAGTCGCAGCGAGCAGAGGGCGGACGGTGGGGTGATGGGCGTGGCACGGTACAACACAGCGCAAACAGGAGGCTCCCTGCCAGGCAGAAGAGGAAGTGGCGTGGGACACGGCAGCCTGTGAATAATGCACGGGTTATTGCTCTTGGCAACGGGGAGGTGCTGAGGCCACGCCTGAGAGTGTCTGCCTGGCGGGTTACACGTCATCTTTGTCTAAATCCATTTTGTTTTATATGCCCCAGACTCGGGCGGAGAGTTCCTCCATGGGAAATTCTATCCCAGACACCCCGATGGCTGGTTCCCTCAGACCTGCGGGGGTTAGCGCCCTACCTGGGTGGGGTCACCTGGCTGTGAGTGTTTGTGCCGTGAGCTTTCTGAGAAGGCACACACTCCACCTCACAGACATGTGAGGAATCCTGCAGCAAGGTCCATTCCCAGAGGCTCACAAACCAGGCTTTTCAAGAATGTACCCCAGCAAGTCGGGAAAGGGTCTGAGAACTGCTTGTGCTTTTCAGACTAACTCTGAGGAACTCTAAACAAAAATGCCCAACAAACACGGAACAACTGGAAGGGTTCTGTGCCTTACTCCTGCCGTCACTTCCATGCGTATGGTTTGAGTTTTTCTTTTTCTTATTCTGCACCACAGACCTCCCTAAAAAATAAAGCAGACTCGGGGATGTATCTCAAGGCTGTGCCCAGGAGGCAGCAGGCTCTGGAGTTCAGTTGCCAGCACCTTAAAAAAATAAAAGTAAACAAGCTACTGACCTTTCTCCCAAGGCGGCGAACACTGCAGACCTTTAACCGCGTGCACAGCGCAGGTGCCAGAGGCACGGTGGACACTCAGTACTGGGGTCCTCGGCCCGCCCTGGGGAGATCACACAGCTCTCACGTGCAACTGCCGTGACACCCGGCCGGGTTTGGGGTCCAGCCTGGTCGGTGGAAAGGGGAACACTGACCAGACCAAGAGGGGCGTTCTCCAGGCTAGACTCTGAAATCATGAATTCCTACTTTTATTTCCTCTCCTGCCTTGGGAACAGGCAGTACCTGCTGATGTCCCAGAAGACTGGGGTGGCCTGGGCCGCGCAGACAAATGCACGCTAGCCTTGTACTTCGCTCAGAACACAGCACCAAGCACTCTTCAAACCTAAAAGCGCCCATGTCTTACGGCAGTAGGCCCCTGCTGCCCATGGAATTCCCAGGGTGTGTGTTTCACGGGGTGGTGCTGCTGAACCAAGCCTAGGTGCTGACACCTTTATACACCTTTCTATCCGCCTTGTTCCTACAAGGAGATCAAAGAAGTACCCGCGGCGGACCCACCGAAAGGGAAAGCCTGGGACAGCGACCTCCTACCACAATCAGGGAGGGTACTACGTGCGGCTGTGCGCTGCATCTGCATTCGGTAAACAAGTGCCTTCCAGGAGCCAAAGGAAAAGCAGTTTGAGCGTCTACAGAGTGTGTTTCTTTTGAAATTTTAAGTTCGATGCTCCTAGATTCCAGTGAGGTAGATTTTAAAGTTCGATCAGCAGGAGAAACAAAACTGTTCTGGGAACTACAAAGCCACAACCACAGCAAAGAGTGCAGTAGGGGAAGCCCTAGGAGGGCCCCTCAGGGCAGTGCCCGGTCTACTCACCCCTAACCACGGGCAGAGGGGCCACTGGCCCACCGCCACAGCGGCGGGTACATCCACCGGCTGGTACTTCCCTTTCAGGACCACCTCTAGCAGACGGAAGCAGGCAGATGGTTCTGGGGGCCCAGAGCGTTTTCTTAAAGAAGGCTCAGCACTGCCGAAGTACACCAGGGCTCCCCAGCGGCATTTTCTGCAACGGTGGTTACGTGCTGCATCTGCGGTCCAGCAGCCAGGAGCCATGTGTGCTTCCGAGCATCTGAAAGGACGAACTGAAGTCTGAAGTTCATGTAATTACTGCACTGGACAAAACAAACCTAGACTCTACTGGACACAGGTGTACAAGAACCACAGCTGCTGTTTCTAGCGTGCTCGGTGCTGCTGTCCATGACCTTGAAAGTACGGCATGCTGCCCACGGCTCCGCTCCCATGGCGCAGATGCTGGAAATCCACGTCTAGAGACTGGCGCTGATCTTGGTGTACAGCCCTGGCTCGCTGACTCATCCCGGCCCCTGTGCAGTTGGGACTGCGCCCCTGCCAGACTGGCAGTTGTGGTTTTTGTTTTTAATGGCAAGACATAGAGCTGGTGCTGCTCCCCTTTAAGGGAGGAGGTAGAAGCTCCAGTAGCCAGAATCCAGCCTGGGGGCAGGCAATGCCCCTGTGCACTCACACAAACCCCCACTCATGCTTCTGCTAGCCAAGAGCAGGGAAGAAGATGCTCAGAGCCTCTCCCACACCACCCTCTCAGAGCACGCGAAGCCGCACCATCACGTCAGGGCAGGAGAGGAAAGGAAGACGGAGGCCAGCCGGGCGGGACAAGGGCGTGGCACGGGAACTCGCTTCCCAAACAGAGTTCCCGGGAACACCAACCCTCCTGGGCGTTCTGTGGACAGCAGGGGAACACTTCCTCCTCCCCCTCCCCCTCCTCCCTCACCTGGCAGGAGCTTCCCAGGGCTCTTGTGAAGCTAAAGGCTCTGAGAAACCTCGCAGTTAGGAAAGCAGTAAAGGCTCACAGTAAGAAAAGACTTCAACAGCATCGTCGATGTCGTGATCACTGATTACGAGGAGATGGAGGCACCCCGCATGGAACAGGTATTTGTGTCTCCCTAACCACCCACTCAGAGCACGGACTCTGTGCTCACCAGGGCATTGCTAGCCCGTCTACACCCCGCCGCGGAACCGGGCGGCCCTGCACGAACTTCACGCCCAAGGCACTTGGTGACAGCCAGGGCAGGGAGTAACTTAGCTGACTTCCAAAGGACGACGGACTGCTAGGAAAAACTAAGCAGCAGCTGTGCGAGGAGGGGGTCTGCACCAGCCTTCCCCGACACAGGCAGGAAGGAAAACAGGAGCAAGAACAATACTCAGTACACCAACAGGCGCCAGGAGCTGCGTCTGCCTACCCTTCCAAGCGGCCGCTCCGCGCTACAACAGCCCCGCGGGCTGCCCTCTGCCCGCTCCTCTCCTCGCTCGGGATTCAAAGCCCGCCCCACCCAGGAAGCCGCCTGCCCACAGCGCCCTTGGGTGGAGCCCCTGCGCCGCCCCTCAGCGCAGGTGAGGCATCCACACTGCCGCGGCACCCGTTTCCTTTGGCTTCTCCACTACCGAGTGTATTATTAAGCCTCTCACTCTCCGAACACTGTGCCGGAGCTAGCTCAGGGCTGGGCACAGCGGTGGGCTCCGGCCCAGTCGGTGATCCCATCCGGCCTGCAGCCCGCTGCACAAGCCTGCTCCCGCAAGTCACCCTCCTTCGCACGCCTTATCAATCTGCAGGAGGTTTTGAGCACTTCTCAAAACTGAAGGAATCTACAGAGGCATACAAAAGGTCTTTATAGTATGAGAACGTTTTATAGGCTTCTGTTCTCCATCTGTATCATCAAAGAACTCGTCTCACAGAGCTCGCCCCGTAAATACCCTCGCTCACCCAGGGCTGAGGCAGCAGGCACAGCCCCGCATGTTAATAGGACTAATTGCAGCTGCAATACACACGGAAAGCCCTTTAACTGGGCCTTGCATGGCTTCATGCTGCAAACCCCCAGGGTCACCACTCCGCCAATACCCTATATGGCTGTACTTTTAAAGCCAGTCGCGTGCCAGCAGTCAAACAGCCACTCTTTTGTTTGGAGCCAGAAAACAAACTTGGAGGTGGACTCTCCTGCGCAGAGGGGCCCAGCTTGAGGGCCCACCCTCCAGGCACACCAGACTACACCCAGACTCAGAAATCTTAGTCTGAGGTGTTTTCAGTGGGAGTCAATTAAGATGCTATTTGTTTCTGAATGGTGAGGCATTTTACAACTAGTTTAACTCAATTCAAATCTTAGGTGAGTGCAGGAAGAGAAGCGAGGCTACTAGAGGCCTCCAGCCACGCACAACCAGACACAGCTCCGACAACCAGAAAAGGTGGGCGCCCGTGAGCAGAGCTCCTCCCCTCTCCCCTCAGCCTCAGTCCGCTGGAGGCTGAGGGGTGCGCACGTTTTCACAAGGTGTGGCCCCAGGACTCAGTTTCCCTGATTACTTAGCAGAGCACTGGACTAAGTCCCCTTCAGCACAAGTTTTCTAAGATTCTATTGCATCTAAAAACTACCTCAATTAAGTACTACAAAGCAAGACTATTTTTGGAAAAATTAGTGTAAGAGACTGCTGAGGAGACCCTGGATATAGCTCAGCAGCACATGTGCCTGCCTGGCAAGGGCAAAGTCCTGAGTTCAATTCCTGGAACCAAAAAAAAAAAAAAAGAGAGAGACTGCTGAGGCTAGGAAGGGAGCATTGGACGATGAAACCGGTGGTGTCACCAGAACTGCCCCGACTTCTAGGGGGAAGCACGTCCCAGGGCCGACGTGTCACGCAGCAGCCGCACACTCCCGCGGCTCACTGCAGTGACAGCCCCAGAGCCCACGTCCTGCTCTCAGGCCGTGCGAGGGAGCAGGAAGCTGTCAGAGCTGGGCTCAGACCTCCAACCGCCAGCGGACCTTTGCGCCTGGTGATCAGGGGAGGTTCGGAAGGGAAACGAGCAGGCTCATCTGGAAGGGAGCCCGCAGGAAGCAGAAAGGAATGCCGCGGCGCGGAGAAGGCAGGTGGGGCCCAGCCGGGAAGCACAGCGGGCTCCAGGTTGCTCAGACGCCACCGGCAGCAGGAATCTGAGAGTCCAGGGCAGGTCTGCAAGCCAACAGAGCGGCTGCTTCACCACGTGCCACCTGATGTGGAGACAGAGCACGGACTCGGGAAACCCGCCCTCTCCAAATCACCGGGAGCAGGCGTTCGAAAGCTCTCCGGTATCTTCCCTCCTGCCTATTGCAAGTTTCAGCTGCCACTACATCACAAAAGGAGAATTCTACCAACTCAGAGTCTGTTTTCAGGCCACAGACGTAAATGCAGATGACAACTTGTACGAAGTCAGAATTTCCGGGAACAGTCACGTTTACCCGCTTCAAGGGCTGACTTGTAATGCTTACTGCAACCTTATTAACACACTTTCAAAATACACTTAGAAAGCCGGGCGTGGTGGTGCACGCCTGTAATGCCACACTTGGGAGGTGAGTCAGGAGGATCACGCCACAAGTCCAAGGCCAGTCTGGGCTACAGAGTAAGGTGTGAAGGCCAGGCGGAACTACATAGCCAGGCCCTGTCTCAAACCCACACACACACCCACACACACGCTTTTATAGAGTGCCTTCTTAAACTATGTGAGGTCTACAGCACCACAAAGAATAAGGAATTAGCAGTGTTTTTAAGCCAGATGTCCTGATCGTGAGCAGTTTTTTTTGAGGGGGTGCTTGGGGTCGAATCTAGTGCCTCACTCCTGCTAAGCAAAGGCTCTGAGCTACACCTGCAGCCCTAGGAGCACTGTTTTAAATAGACAAATCTGAAAGACTGTAAGGGCCACAAGGAATTAAGTGTTTTTATATCATTCTTGTTCCCATGAATTCAGTCCATCTCCTCGCGCCCTGCGGTCCTCTCAAGATGGCTCACGGTAAGTCTGCTCCCAGCCCTTAAAAGGCATGGCTGCCGTTTCACAGGCACAGGACCCCTTCGTCCACGGGCGACACACAAGGACAGGGAAGACGCCCCTCCAGCGCCCTCTCTTCTCACAAGGCCACACAGGTGCACGGGGACCCGCCAAGCACCTGCTCTACCCTGCAGCCGTGTCCAGGGGGCCGCCTTCACCCTGCAGACCTGCTCAGCACCCCCATCCCACCAAGGCTGCTTGCCTTCTTTTGTTTGTGTTTTAATGCTATTACACCAGAGGCATTTTATAAAAGCTTTGTTGCTTACACACACTAACTATACTGTGTATTTTAAACACGGCCCCAGACAATGCCTCCACTCGGTGTGGCTGGGTCAAGTCAGACGGACACACCTGGAAAGCAGTACCTGCCTCCTCCCGGCCTCCCCATCCCGGGGAGATCTCCTCGGAATAATGAAAAGGTTCGGTAAGCTCGGCCTGGTGGTGCACATCTGTCATTCCTGCACTTTGGGAGGCTGAGGCAGAAACATCCCAAGCTGACCCAGCCTGGTGGACTCAGTGGCTTCGCAAAATAAAAAGGGCTGGGATAGGGCTTAGTGCCAAGGCCTTGGGGTCGAACCGCAGCATGCCCCGCCCCATACAAGGTACTCTGATGGGGAAGGGAAAGGACAGAGCCCGGGGGAAGCATCTTCAGGAGCTCACGGCCTCTCTCCCCGCTGCTTGGGTGCAAGTGAGAAGCACCTAAGCCACAGAGGCCAGGAACACAGGCGGGTCGGACGGGCTCGGACAGGCCGGCGGGGAGATCGGGAGGCAGAGCCCCCGCGGGGAGGACGCCACGGGCCAGGTGCGCCAGGTGACCTCACGGAACGCAGCCCGGCGCCCAGGGCCCGCCACGCTCACTGCCTCGGGAGGGCTCAGGCAGGGCCTGACACAGACCCTTCAGCCTCACCCTGAGAAGCAGTCTTCTCAACTCCTCCCCCAGCGCACTGCCCCTCCCTTTCCAGTCCCTTCCTCAGCCGACGGGGCAGGATCGGCCCACCCAAGTCCGGGGAGGGGGCAAGGTGGGCTCCTCATCACCGTGTAGGACACCACCCAGACCCTTCACAACCTGCCCATCTGCTCCAGAATCCCTGGAATTCCTTACCGCGGTTTTTCTTATTTTGCCAACAGGAACCTGGAGGCCTGGGAGGGGTCATCTGCTCAGTCAGCTGGGGGCAAGGAAGGTTCCTGTCCAGGTCTGCCTGATTCACAGCCGAAAAGCCACGCAAGTGAAAGGCAGGAGAGACCCGGGGAGG